CAGGAAGACGAAGTGAACACACAGCCCATGCTGGCTATGCATCAGAGAGGCGTGCTCTAGTGCCCCCTGGCTTCTGGCCTGAGCCACTGCAGAGATGTGGCTTCATTTCCTGAATCAGAAGTAAATGTGCATCCAGTTGTTTCTCAGTTTAACTAACTAAGACTTAAACTAACCTGCAAAGACTGAATAGATTCAGCCTCAGGCTTTTTGACTGTCTGTACTTAGCCCATATGGATAGAGTGACTAAAGGCTAGAAGAACAAGACTCATTTTGCAAATCAAAGGTGGTGTGAGTGATACTATCTTTGTCTATAAATACATTATGGCAGTAAATACCAGATAGGAAAAACAACAGTTACTTAACTCTAATAGCAAGATGCTGAAAAAGAAATTGGCATAAACCGACCATAAATTGGATTGGAAATTAAGAAGCAATTTCTAAGTATTAAAAGAGCTAAACACTCTTCCAGTAAAAGAAATGGGAGAAACAAACTAACTACTTATAAAAAAGAGCTCTGTATTTTTGCAAAAGGTATTTTATATTATACCATATTATACCTAACCACTGTTCATAGCATAGGCCTTCACTTCAGACAAGAGTTTGGCTTTCTGTATTTATTAAAGCATGTTAAAAAACCAGTTTTGGGGGAAAAAAAACAAAGTTCTCTCATGTGGAAGTACTATGCTTCTGTGTGGAATGTGGCTTGATCTGAATGCTATTTCTTGCTCTAAAACACAAGGTCATACGCTCGCTCATGAAAGCATTTTCAAACAAATCCTGCCGATTTTGAACATGGTTCAATAAGCAGCATGATCTTCTTCAAAACAACAACAACAAAAACAAAATCAAATGGAATAAAAGGAAAGCTGCTAATTTTATAAAAGTAAAAATGTTCAGCTCTTAACTACTTAGTTTGATGGTGATTTTTTATCATCTCTTTTGTTGACCTCACAAATGCTTGATAATAAATCTTTCTCCTTGTCTTCACAATCACTATGCACTATTTGTGAGTCTTTGAATGTTTCACATAATTAACTAATTGTGAGCCTGTAAGCCTAGTGATGATGATAAGGTATATAGTCAGACTATTTTTTTTCATTCAAAATGTTAACTGCTACACTGCTACGTTCTATGGCTGACTGGAACACTGTAAACTACCATATGTACTCAAATAGAAGATGACCCTGAATATAAGTTGACCCTCTAATAATTACATCCTAATTATGGAAAAAATTATAAATTTGTTATAATTTTTCCAGGTATATAATCTGATTATTGGAGGTTTGCCTTGAATTTGCCCCCCTCCTATTGCTACAGCAGGAAAAATAAATCTAGCGGGTCAGGTAGTCGCCTTGCCCTATGCCCCCTGGATTTCTTCCCCCTGCAGCCCCTTCCCCCCACTCCTTATTGTCAAACCCTTCTCTCCCTGAGCACATGGAGGTGAGGATCAAATCTGAAAATACAACCCTTGAAATAAAAATACCTGTAGTAATTTGCATAGAAACCCATAGACTTAGTTAATCCAGAATTGCCGCATTTTTCCTTTTTTGAAACTGCTGCGAGTTTTAGCACAGGTACTCCCAGTAAACACATTGTTAGGCAGCATTTTTGTAACTACTTGCATATAACAGAAATTATTCATGATATTAGTCCAAAGCCAAAAGAAACACTATTTACCATATATGCCATTGGGCTGGGCCCAGCAGAGTCAACAGTGTTTCAAAGCCATGGTGACCTCACAGTTCAGCACTGCTCAGTATGTGCATGTGAACCAGATACCCATCAACAAGGATTCATGTGTTAATTAGCCCCCCTAATAGTGACTGGAACAGGGTGTTCTTGTCATGGGTCCTATGATCCTCCAAATACTAACATGCAGATGGGGAACAGAACAATCTAGTCTAGCTCCACCTAATGGAGGGTGGGGCCACACTAATCATCTGCAACCTCATCTTGTAAATATAGTAAATGAATATTTTTTATCATACTAAGCTGTTTTGTCAAAGCTAAAGATTTTGAAGACATTTTTGATGGAAAAGTTTGAGCTCTTAGGTGCTCAGAGAAAGATAAATAAAAAACCTGATCTTTTCACTCCAGAAATGGACAGTTTAGAACAACATCATTTTTGTTTTAAATATTTTAATTCCAAAGCAAAAGAACAGGCTTCAAAACCCCCAAAACTGACATTAAGTGGAATTCTTTCCCACCACTTCTTTCCTCTGAAGTGACATTTTACGCTATTGTAAGTCTTACAATAGTCTCAAGCTTACATCCTTCCAATACATCTTTGCTTAAAATGACAGTAACTTGAAAACCCATAGGGCTGGTCAAAGAAAAAAATGCTCTGCTGATACTCATTAAGTGAGACAGATAACAGTTAGATGTCAAGGAGGTTAGACCAAAGGAGAACACAAGGGAGGAAGAAATTAAACATCATTTGAGCAGAGCAATGTCGCATTTAATTTTAAAATAAATGTTGAGGTTTCTCATGTCCCTGCAAAGCCAGGATCCTTACTTAACAAAGTTCACATTCTCAATTAATATAATTTTGGCATAACCTCCACAGTTGTCAGTTTAAAGAAAAAAAACAAACAATGGACTTTAGAGTCTAACAGTTCAGAGGACTTATTAAAAGTAATATAGCTTCAAATTTACCTAAAGTATTTTATAGACATAAGAAAAGGGCCATGACTTCAAAGACCATTATTTCAGACCATTTCAGGACTAGGTAAAATCTTTGAGTAAAAAATTGCTGATATGAACTGGGAATCTACCAGCTTAGATGCCCAAACTGCAATGTTTCTAACCCTGCTAAAATATGGAGTCTGTATTTTACCCCATAGGACATGTAGGACCTTACACTACAAATGAATCTTACCTAGCTGCACACATTGCTTATATTTAACACATAAAATAACATGTAACATCCTTCTCTACATAAGCAGTATGCCATACTGTGTGTGTGTGTGTGTGTACATACTGCTTATGTAGAGAAGAATGTTACATGTTATTTTATATGTTAAATATAAACAATATGCGCAGCTAGGCAAGATTCATTTGTAGTGTAAGGTCCTACATGTCCTATGGAGTAAAATACACACAATTACTAAAAATGTTAAAATTCAAAAATAAAACACTGTTAAGTGCAAAATGCAAATGCTTTGGCAGTGTATACATTCTAAACTGTACCACCTTTTGCATATTCATTATGATACATCTCTAGTTATATGATAACAAATGTTCTATGAAAATGTCTCCTTCCTGTTCAGTGTGTAATCTAGATGGTAGGCAATGAAGAAGATATCCTAACTTGATATGTTTTTCTTAAGTATTCAATACATTGCTTCATGCTTAACACACTATACACATCATTCCT